TGGTGCCCCGGCGCGCGGCGCGGCGCGAAAAGCAGCTCCTCTGGGACTGCTGCCGCGGAGGCGGCTCCACCGGGGGCGGCGAGAGCGCGCGGCCCGGCCAGCTCCCCACCCCAGGACCCTCACTACTAACAGCGTTAACTTGGGCGGGGCAGTGGGGGGGCGGGTAGCAATAGCGAAAGTCTCTTATTTTCCCGCGGTAACAGTCTGCACCCCTGCCCAGGCTCTGCTCCTTCCCTTGGAGCCGGAACGACGACCTGAGGATACTGACACCCCACCCCCACCTTTGGCATTTTCCTGCTTGCGAGCCGCTGGCGTTGTGCGAGAGGACTCTTAAACCGTCGTGGAGATGCACAGACTCCTCCGAGCCTCGGCGGGGAAGGGAGCCCTGGGGGCAGGGAATCAAAGGGTGATAGGAACCGCTGCGGAAGGTTGTGTAGGGGTCGGGGGGCGGTGGGGGGGCGAGTGGAAAGGGAGGCTTCTGGGATCGGGAGTGGAAACCCAAAGAGTCAGCCTCCAGGGGAGAGAGCTGTCCAGTGGAGAGAGTCCGTCTCTCTGTGAGGTTTCTGGTGCCCAAGAGCGTCTTGCAGCGGGAGCCTTTCTCACTCCCCACCGGCTCTGGCCTCCCGCAGTCTCGCCCCAAGATTGGACCCCTCAGCTTTTCAGGTTCCAAGGGACAGCGTTCCAGGCAGGCGGTTAAGGAGTGTGAGCTAATGAAGTGATACCCGCAGGCAGCAGTTGAGAACCAGCGGCGCTTCATTATTCTGTAGCAATTTGTGGATATGAAAACCATGTTTCTGATACTGCTACCAAATCATCTCTTGCTTCTTTCGGCTTTCCCAAAATCTCACATACTGATGGAGCTGGGAAATTACAGCTTTTACTGGGTCGACTCTTACTGGGAATAATTGTAACCAATTCTATCAGGATAGATTAGTTTACAGCAGATAAATCAAGCTCAGTATGTTTTTGCTTTGTAAAATTGAGATGGCACCTTTGCAGAGAATAAGTTTAAGATTTCAACCAGCACAAGTTTGTTCCTGAGACTCCAGATTCTTGGTTGACCACCCTTCCACATTTCCAAGGTCATATGACTGCCCTCTGCAGTTTGAATATTTATTCCACTTTTTCTCAGTAAATATTCTAAAGTCTTTCTTACAGCCGTCAAATTAACAAAGTTCAAAAATATCTGTGACCGTGCACGTATTTTTACAATCATCAGAGATACATCTAAGTACTATTGAAATCTGTTCTTCAGCTGGAGTACAATCCATTTGTACAGAGAATACCAGGATTGAAAGGAAGACCCAGGGTGATCTGGTCCACACACTCAATTTTTCCTTGAGGCCCCTGTCTGACATTTTTATAAGTGGTCATCCAGTCTTTTTGAACACTTCTTGAGGAAGCCTGTTACTCTTGCCAGTAGCTCTCTTAGAAAATCGAAACCAAACCAGAAAAAACAAATGCCTTTGAGTTGACTCTGACTTATGGCAGCCCGGTAAGTCAGGGGGAGTCCTGGTGGTGAAGTAATTAAGAGCTCAGCTGCTAACTAAAAGGTTGGCAGTTCAAATCCACCAGCTGCTCTTTGGAAACCCTCTGGGGCAGTTCTACTCTGTCTACAGAGTTGCTATAAGTCAGAATCAACTCAATGGCAATAGGTTTGGTTTTGGTTTGTGTGTGTCAGAGCAGAACTGCTCCATAGGACACCTCTGAGTGGGTGGGTGAATTCAAACCACCAGCCATTCGGCTAGTAGTGGAGTGCTTAACCGTTTGCACTACCTAGGGGCTCTCCTCTTAGAAAAGCTTTTCTTGTACTGAACTGAAATCTACCTCCCTGGAACTTCTACTAACGGTTTCTAGCTCTCTGCTCTGGGCCCACACAGCTAAATCGAATTCCTGTTTCTTATGAAAACTCTTCATTCATTTGGAGATGGTTTCATGTTCCCCTGAATCTTCTCTTCTCTGGGTTAAACATAGCTACTTCCTTCAGTCTGACAATTCCCAGACTCCTCACCAGCCTTGTGGCCTTTCTCTTCCTGTGACCCAGTTTCTCAATGGCCCCCATCCCCAACAATCAAAGTTTGTGTCCAGAAAGGGCCTCTATTCTTTGGGGTCTGCCCAGCACACTACAGAACTGGCACTTACTGTATTCTGAATAATTTGCTTCTATTAATGCAACTTAAGAAGATAAGCATTTTCAGGGCAGCTACAGCATGCCATTTTGTTATTTTCTACATTATCTCACAGCAAAAATTATATTCGTCTTATAGATGAGGTTGACGGAAACAAAGAAGGTCAATCTGTTTACTGGAGACCGTCCAGCCAGTTAAGCCTGAGACTTGAATACAAGCCAATTTGACTCCCTCCTAATAGTTTTTCCTCCATTCCACAGCTATTTATATGCATGCTTTCCATCTCAAGGAATCTACAAAATAAGTCATCCTGACTATATTTTGATATGTCTATTTCTCAAGAAGAGGAAGGGAATAAGGGTAGGTGGGTGGCAGAAGGAGGGAATAGCTTCCTTCTTACTAACTGGGGAAAAACTTATTTCATCTGTCTGCCTTTCTCACGTAGGAGTCAACTCCAATTCCAATACCAGCGAGGGAGGGAGCTGAGGCAAAGCTTGAAGTTCCCATCCTGAATAGGGAGCCCAAGGGCTTTTCTGGGGAAATTACAAGTGACACCTCCCCTCCCTCCACCCCTTCTCTCCACCGTCCATGCCCAAAGATAGAACTTAAGTTTCCCACTCATTTGTCAAATGTCTTTACTCATTTTCCAGAGTCCTGATAGCACAGTGTTTAAGACAGTGGCTGCTAACCAGAAGGTTGGCTGTTCAAATCCACCAGCTGCTCCTCGGAAACCCTATGGGGCAGTTCTACACCATGAGTCAGAGTTCACTCATTGACAACGGGTTTTCACTCATTTTCCACTTCCCATCCCACAGCCTCTCCCTGCCCGCTGTACACTAGAATTATTTTTTTAAACTTGCTGAAGCTCTTATCTTTGTGGCATAGACTCAGTGATTGCACTTTCTGTGGCCAAAAGATTTCATTCGAAATAAATGAACACTTATTATCAACCAGGCACTGTCCTAAGGATGGGGGATGCCACAGTGAAAGAAGTTATTCTCTGCCCTTAAAGAGCTTACATTCTAGTTAAGGAAGACAGATGATTAAACAAAATAAGGAAAATATTTATATAAAATCAAAAACGATAAAGATCATGGAAGGAAAAATAGGGACAACGCTAGGAGCCCTAACACATGGCATAAACACAATACGAACCATAAGTAACAATGCACGAGCACCAGAAAAGAGACTAGATAACTGGGAGCTCCTAAAAATCAAACACTTATGCTCATCAAAAGACTTCACCAAAAGATTGAAAAGACAACCTACAGACTGGGAAAAAATTTTGGGCTACGACAAATCCAATCAGCGTCTAATCTCTAAAATCTACACGACACTGCAAAACTTCAACAACAAAAAGACGAATAACCCAATTAAAAAATGGGCAAAGGATGTGAACAGGCACTTCGCCAAAGAAGATATTCAGACGGCTAACACACAAGAAGAAATGCTCACGATCATTAGCCATTAGAGAAATGCACATCAGAACTACAATGAGATATCATCTCACCTCAATAAGGCTGGCATCAATCCAAAAAACACAAAATAATAAATACTGGAGAGGCTGTGGAGAGAGTGGAACACTTATACACTGTTGGTGGGAATGTAAAATGGTACAACCACTTTGGAAATCGAATTGGTGCTTCCTTAAAAAGCTAGAAATAGAAGTACCATACGATCCAACTATCCCGCTCCTTGGAATATATCCTAGAGAAATAAGAGCCATCACACAAATAGATATATGCACACCCACATTCATTGCAGCCCAGTTCACAATAGCAAAAAGATGGAAACAACCTAGGTGCCCATCAACGGATGAATGGATAAACAAATTATGGTATAGCCACGCAATAGAATACTACGCAATGATAAAGAACAATGATGAAGCCGTGAAACATAACATGAAGGAAGCTGGAGGTCATTATGCTGAATGAATTTAGTTAGTCACAGAAGAACGAATATTATATAAGACCACTATTACAAGAACTCGAGAAAAGGTTTAAACACAGAACAAAACATCCTTTGATGGTTACGAGGGAGGGGGAGGACTATTTACTAACTAGATAGTAGATAAGAATTATCTTAGGTGAAGGGAAGGACAGCACACACTACAGGGGAAGTCAGCACAACTGGACTAAACCAAAGCTAAGAAATTTCCCGAATACAGTCAGGTCTGGGGACCATGCTTTCAGGGGACATCTAGGTCAACTGGCATAACAAAGCTTATTAAGAAAATGTTCTGCATCCTACTTTGGTGAGTGGCGTCTGGGGTCTTAAAAGCTTGCAAGCAGCCATCTAAGATGCATCAATTGGTCCCAACCACCTGGAGTAAAGGAGAATGAAGAACACCAAAGACATAAGGCAGGCATTAGCCCAAGAGACAGAAAAGGCTACATAAACCAGGGACTTCATCAGCCTGAGACCAGAAGAACTAGATGGTGCCCAGCTACCAACAATGACCACCCTGACAGGG